CGCAGCCACTTTGATTAACCCACAGGCGCAGACAAAATGAGTAACGTACCACAAGGTTTGGAAGAAACTGTCTGGCCACAGTGAGTTGTCACCTTCTGCCTTGGCGGACAGAGCCTTTCCCTCCAGCCTGGCTAGAAATGCTTGCGGGAGTCTTGGTTTTGCAGAGAACCTTCCTGGCCGTGGAGCCAGTAACACTTTGATCATCCCCAACGGGGATTGGGGTTTGCTTGTTGATTTTGTTTTGTTTTAGTAGCATATGTAATAGGTCTTTCTTTCCTGCCCTAATTTGAGCTGAGTTCACAGTTTCCCCTGCTTCCACCCACACAGTTAACATGATGCTCTGCCGCACTCTCTTCCCCAAGGGTGTATTTAGCTTTAGCAGCACTTGAGCACAGGGCACCCTTAGGGGACTAGTGCAGTTTCTTCTTTACAGGAGGCCTTTTGTTGTGCTGCCTGTTACTTAATCTTCGCTGTTGTCAACCATCGCTTACTGAAACTATTCAGTGAAATTGAGAAGTTGCTACTTCTTTTAATATCACTGATTTAAAATATTAGAGCAGAGTTTAAATTGCTTGAGTTTATAAAAATACAACCATTTCCCTCTAGTGAAGATGAAGAGAATCTTTCCATTTTGTTCTTATTTCTCAGCCTTTGACTGTCTCTTATACAGAATTGCTTGGATAAACTTAAGTAAAATATAACCCTATCTAAAGTRACTTTGTCACTACGGCAAGCTGTGCTCCCAGATGTTGAATAGTCAAGCTGCTAAAGTTACTGAAAAAATTTTAGGCTTAAAGACAGGCTTGTCATGACTTTATATCTGAAAAAGATTGGGAGAGAGCCTGAAGGAAGTATAAATCATCCCCTTTTCTGTTAGGCAGATTGCTATAAAGCAGCGTTATAGCAGTCCTGAAACAGATTGTCTAGACTATACTTTTATGTTCTTCATAATTCAGTTAGATTAAAATATTTTTTCTTTGAATATTTTTCATATCGAGTGAAGTGATGTATAATTTTAAACAAATTCTGATCTAAAAACTTGTTTCTATTTTATACAGTGCTTAAAGATTCAAGATGAGCTTATGTGGCTATTTCCAAGGCAATAAATTGTAAATTATTTGCCATTGTAAACCTATCCCTGAGGGTATGTGCAGCTCAAGGCAGTGGGCTTGTGTGTCTTGCTGTATGCAGGGAGTTTTCTCTCTTCACCTATTTTAATCATGAACTAGGAAATGTTACTGCCTATATGCAAATTGACAATTGTTTGAAAACATCAGGAAATTGAAATAAATGTAATATTAAAGAATAGATTTTGGTTTTGTTTTTTTTTTTTTTTAATATACTCTTTCTTTGATTTACTCTCCCTGAGATGGGAATTTAATTGCAGCCCTTTTAACTGAGTAGCTAATCAGCTATTGGAGTTTGTAGGGAGGGAACTACATTTTAATTTTAATGTGGTTGAGTGAGTGCAATGCAGTTGAAGCTGCAATAAATCAGAATCCATACTACTTTTTGCTGGTTTCTTGCTAAATCATGGAACTTCTCTGAGAGTTAAATATTACTCGGTTTACTTCTTCATTCCTGTGTTGCAGCTTATTGGGAATCAGGGGATTGATTTTGGGAAACAACACAAAACACTGTAAATAGGGATAATGTGGAAGGATGGGTGTGGATTGCTTATGTGTGTCTGCATTATTGAGAACTAGTCTCAGATGCACTTGAATTTGTGAAATACAAGGCTGTGTGGATAGAGCTGCGTATATTTTAGCTTAGTAATGCTTTTGAATGTGTATTATGTATGAATCTCACAAGCAAATGGGCAAAATTATTATACATTAAGCTATTTTGATATTATTTCCCAGCTCTTTAAAAGTAGTTGCAGTTCACTGTCAAAATGGAAGTTGATATTAAGTGGCAATCTGTTAATAATCTGTGTGGTACAATAGTGAATGTTTATTAAATCTGCATATAACTGAAGTTATATGCTTCATCCTGTCACTAAAGGTCTTCTGAAATGAGTTCCTCCTACTCTGCTGTGAATGCTCTTATTCCAGCACTGAAATACTACCTCTTCACACAAAATGGTTGTGGTAAAATTCMTTATAAGATACTTGTAATCTGGGTCTAGAGGTTTACAAATTAAATTACTCTATTGCTAACCAATTTGTTATTCACATTGGCCTTGAAGCGCACATTCCTACAAATACTGTGGGATTCAGCTACTAATGTCCTCACATCTCCTAGAATAACCTTCMGTTAAGTTCCTGAAAAGTTTAATACTTTCCCATGGCAACTGTCCTTAACTGCAAAAATAGACTGTCTTATGGCAGGACTAGTGTTGAATGGACTTCACATCCTCTATTATAAAACCTATGGAAAACTCTGGCCTCCTAAGCAACGTTTTGTCTTCACTCTGATGAGATGACTAGTGGTTTCCTCCTTCTCTGCTGCTGGTGAAAGGGATGCTTTTGATACCTTCTTGTCCATCTGAGAGGGAAAATAGATTTTGAGCTCTTACAGAACTAGAGTATATTCAATGCTCTTATGTTTATATAGAGTAATGGCATGCTACTCGGTCGGCTAATGAAAAGATGGTGTAGGTATAGTGCCTATTAAATTGTGAAAATGAAGTTTACAGCTGTTTCCTTCCGTGCACATCTGTGCCTCCTCCTCACTAGTAAACAAATTGACAAGTTTTTAGTTTTATAAGTAAATTGAGAAATAAGTAATTGAGTTCTGATTTGTTGTTTTATAAGAGTATTTTAAAAGTATCATGATGGCTGTAACATTTTGTGTGGCTTTCAGAGGTGTTTGTRACTCCTTTTCTTAAAAAACTCGTAATTGCATTATAAACATTCTGTCTGAAGSCTTGCAAAGTAGAATTAATGGCTGGGAGGCGATTTTTTCACCTGCTCCTGCCTCCCAGTATCCTTGAATCCTGGCCGTGAATGATAAATTTAAAATCCATATGCCATGAAGTTTCCTGACTTGTAATTTGAGCATTTTAATTCCTGCTTAAATGCCCCTAAGTGTTACACATTCCCTTGGAAAAGCAAGAGAAAATGTCAGAATCCAAAGCTATGTCTTTACAAATTGTCTTGTTGATATTCCAAGATCTTTTGCTGTGATATTTGCCAGCCTTTGAAAAAGTTGGCCTAGCGTAAAACATTACTTGAAAGTCTGGGGGGGGGGGGGGTGAAGGGGGGTGTATGTATATGTCAATGTGTATGCATAAATATATATATATAAATGATCCTGAAACAGTTCTGTTTCCAGCCTTAACCTTCCTCACATATCCACTAGTGGAAAATGGTCTAACAAATCTCATTACAAAGATAGTTCTTATTGTATGTACTGTGCAAGTGCTATGAATATGTTCTTTATACCTAAGGCAAGGAAAGACAATAATCTTGAGCAACTATTTTTTATTTATTTTTTTTTAATTTTAGAGCTTTGTAGGTGCTGTGTGGGTCTCGGCTAATATGTTCACTAATTTTACCTTCTTACAGTATACTCACGGTTTTGGTGCTGTTTTGAGAAAAGAATCTACCTCGGAATCCTCCTATTAAAAAGACTTTTCTTCAGTACCACAATATCAGGTTTTTAAGCCAGGCGTATGTGTGTGCTGCTAGAGAATTTAGGAAACTCTGACAATTTTCCATCTACTCTAGGAAACTTTCTAAGAGGCAGGAGTTTGAATTATGTTCCAAAAAGAGATGACTTGAAACATTGTTTTCAATAATACCATCTAATTGGATCTTTATCACAAATAAGTACTTGAACTCTTTTTTTTTTCTTTTTTTTTAAATCTTTGCAAATACATGAACACCTATATTTACAGGGAAAAGCACTGTGTTTAATATGAAAGATGTCATTCTGCTAATACTTCTTTAGCGGCTATAACAGGAAAAAAACTCTGAATTGCAACCTTTAAATTACCTTGCACTGGGCCATCAAGCAACTCAGCAAGATAATAAAGATCCTTCTTGAGAAGCAATTCATGAAAATCTATTTAAATATGTGCCAGCATTTCCTTTATATTTTGAAGCACGAGAATAGGCCTGCTCTTTAGGCCATGTCATGAATTTAAGAGCCTGTTCTGCATTTCTGTGCACACAGCTCCGGGCTGTCTCGTCCTCCCTTCCTTCCTCTTCCAYGCTGTGCACTTTCCCGTTCCCCCATCGTGTCCGTCTCGCTCACATGCTGTTGCTCCCATCTTCCCTCCCAGCCACGCTTTCTCCCCACATATCTACGGACACTTTAGTGTTTTTTTCCATTAGCTCTGTGAGCTGCGTTTTTGGTATTTAGCTTCTATTACCAGAAGACTTTCAGACCAAGCATAGTTGCTACTGTAATTATGTAACCTTGCAAAGCTTGCGAACAGTCACAGAGTAGTGGCAAATAATTCAAAGCAAAAAGGATCTAAGAAGTAGCCAGATGAGTTATTGTAAGTGCATAAGTAATTCCCTTTGCCATAGTGTGTTACTCCCCGTGCTCCTATAGCAGCTAAGCCGCACCAAATTGAACACCTAGGATTCTGCATACTTCAAATCAAGTTAATAGTAAACAAGTATTCCTACAGAATGTAAGATCTTTCTTTTTTTAATGTAATTGGTTTTCGAAGATGGAAAATAAAAAAAGGGGAGAGAGCTACCCAGCAGATGAGTTTAGCATTCATCCATCCTGGTCTGGTCTTCCTTTGATATTTGGTCATTCTTATACATGTCCTGAGACTTAGCCCTTGCCTTGTGTGAGTCATTTGATGCACTGTTCTCTGTACCATAATTAAGTTACTGTATGGGGAGGCTTTATTGAAAGGGATTTCTATTATGTTCTGGGCTGTACAATGAATTTACATCAGTAGTGTGTGTCATGAAGCAAGCCTGAAATGCCAGATGTGGTCTGTACCTGTGGAATAACAGCATTAGGTCAGTCTTGAGGAGCTTGTTGCTGAGATACAGGTGTTGGATACAAAAAAAAAACCTCCCATACTGGTTTAAATGCGGTTTAAATCTGTCTGTCATGGTGAGTGGTGAACTACAGGCATTAGGCAGTTGTGAGACTCAATTTTCAAGGTGTGGGAGAGGGAGATCTTGAGCACTGAGGAGAGAGCTGCCTAGTCAAGAGAGGCCAGGGAGTTCCTGATGCCCTGTTCCTGAGCCTGTACACTGAAGTGCTCCTTAAATGCTCTGGGACGAAGGAGATTAAACTCACGTTTATTGATTTTAGTTTTACTCTAACCCTCTAGTCATAACCCTCTACAACTTTTCTAAAGAAGTAGCTTATCCTTAAATTGTTTGCATATCATGTATCCCAATTTATACATAATGYAGCGTAACTCTCTTGCAGGTCATGCTAATCTGGAGAGCCCTCAAGATATTGAGGTCTACATTGTGAATACAAACTTCACTCTAAGGTGGAACTACTCGGAGGATGGCACCCCCGTGGTGTTTTCAGCTCAGTACTGCTGGTAAGTGCTGCCTTTGTGCTGAGCCACATGTCTGACACTTATTCGTGTTAGAAGAGCAAATTAATTGATGAATTACAGTGGTTCCTGCTGCTGCCATGTCGCCTTTCTGGAATACARGGGCCAGAAAATTGAATTGTGAACTGAGGATGGACCCTGCAGGGATCACCTGTATAATTAATATGTGAAATTAGATTATTTGCTGATAGTTATACGTCATAAATGCAGAAAACATTACTACTAAATGTTCAGGATTGAAACGATTCCTGGGGAGAATGCACTGCCACACTTCAAGCTAGTGTTTAGACTCCCACAAATTTTTGTGTGCATTTTTAATTGAGCTGCATTTTGTCAACCTCTCCTCCAGTAAGTACATGTAGAATTTGAGAGTATTTGCTGTGTAAATTTTAAAAACTTTGTCAATGTTTATAGACCCAGATTTCTGATCTGCAAATTTTAGTCATCAGATGAAATTATTTATTTTTTGTTCTTCAACTTTAATTGTTTTTCTTCTGCTGTTTTACATACCAGTACATGTGTATATCAGAACTCCTGGTGTTTTGTAGAACTTCCCTTTCGTACAAATGCACAAAACTACTTCAGAGATGATAAAATCACTTAAGGAGTTCTTTATTTTAGGATTTCCTAGTGTATGATTTTGGATTAAAAAAATAGTAATAAAGTCGGGCTGCTTCTTCCTTAATGTGTAAATGACAAACTGTCACTCTGAAAATGCAGGTTTATTTCAAAGACATAATTCTGGTCTATCAAAGACAGGAATGGAAGATAAAATTATTTCTTCAGGTTAGCCTCTTTCCAGCCAGATCATCGCTCGTGATGTCAGAGATGTGTTTTAGCAGTCTCACATTAACACACATGAAACGGAGTTTCGGGAAAGCTGCCCGTTCCATTCCAGTGTTTTCTTTTGTCTTTCTGGTGAACTCCAGTTTTCACTTTTGTGTTTGTTTTTGCATTCCCGTAGTCTATGCTCCTTGCTGACGTTAACAATTTTCTTTGTTTCGTGCATCTCTGTTTCTTGCAGCCAGTATTTTTTAATTTCTTCCCAAGGTTTATAAAATTAATGCCATGCTGGGATCATGCACTCAGCATTTCATTCAAGATTTTGACAGTTCTTTAATGTTCTCTTCTGACATTGTGTGCTCACATGGTGAAGCAAGGAAATTGGTATCACACATTGTAGGTTATAATTAACTTTGGCTAAGAAATTTAAAACAAATAGTTGATCTACGAAGTCCAGGCTAACTAAACAGATAATACTGCTTACATTAGCATTGGTGGTGAAAGCTAGAAATTGCATAATATTTGTTTTATTAGACTTAAGAGGAAAAGTAAAAGAAAATAAAAGATTAAATTATTGTTTTTTTTCTTTTTGTTTTTCTTTCTTACAGCTCTGAAGACTGTCAGTCAAGTGAAATGGAATGGAAAAAGTTGGCTGGGTGTCAAAATGTCACTGGTACCAGATGTGACTTTTCCTCGGCAATAACCGAATATGACATCGAATATTACGTGCGTTTAAGGGCTGAAACGAGGGAAGACAAATCTCCATGGTCCAGTTATTTTGAAATGATTCCATCTGAAATGGGTAAGAGCTCACTGGACACTGTAATGTTTTTAGTTAAATGGCCTTCAGCACATTATTGTAGAAAAGATGCCTGACTTCCATAGCTCGTTGTAACCTGAGCTGAGGCTCCCTCAACGTTGAAGTAGCATGAGGTAACTTCTGGTCTTGGAATGCTACAGTTCCCTCTTCCGGTGAGGGGAAAATATTCAAAGTGACACTGTTTTTCTGACGTAATTTTCCATCACTCTGTATTTCTCTGGAATTGGAGTCAATCTTCCTGAAAATGGACTTTTTTGGAAGTCATCTTCTCATCTTACAGCCTCTTGTTGGCTAGGATTTGTGTAATTCTGAAGACTTCCATCAATATCTCTTTGGTTATTTGGGCAAGGCTTCCTTCCTTGCTCATTTTAAAAGAAATTATACTGATTTTCATCACAGAGTTTAGAGAACATTAATAATATAGCATTTTAACTTCCTTCTTTTCAGAACCAGTTAACACTGGTAGTTTACAGGTTAGATTTCTATTAGTTACTGATGGAAAAGAGTTAAAAATAAGATAATATATACAACTAAGTTTTTTAATGTGACTAACTTTGGAGTGATTTTTCTCTTAAACAATTTTGCTTGACTGTGCGTGTTGGTATTTTTTCTTTTAATATTTACAGCTGAGATTGGTCCCCCAGAAATAGAGTTGCAGTCTACAAACGGAGTAATAAAAATCAAGCTTTCTCCTCCAGAAGCAAATCAAGCCCAAAAAATGTGGATAGATGATCTGAGTTTTAAATATAATGTAGTTATCTGGGAAAACTCATCAAATGCAGAGGTATAATCAGACTTCGATTGTTATTTTCTGATCTTAAAATAACTGCCAGATATTACTCGCTTAATGCTCTAAAAGATAATTGTTTTGTTATGTAACTGTGTACAACTGTTAATCTGCACTTTTTTTTTTAAACTACAGAATTGTACGAGATATTTTTGAACGAGCTTTTTATTTCTATAAATATAAATTCTCAAACCAGGTGCAGGAAGGCAGTAAAAGCGTTTCTGATGTACAGGGACAGGAGCCAACAGGAACAAAGAGCAGGAAGGAGGTCAGGGTGGTAGGAAGACAAGTTTCCTCCCTGCTTACGTGTGTAAGGGAGTGTGGCATCTTGCACTCAGTCACCTGCGCTGGAGAAAATTGCCCTCACTTCATCTTCCTGACCTGGCTTAGCCTTTTGGAGGGTATTTGATGTACATGAACAGGCAAAAGAGTTTAAGAAACAAACTCATGAGGAAGAACGATCGTCTTCATCCACTACTCACAATTGTTTCTTGCAGCTCCGAAAGCAAAGTATTTTTCCTACTGACACAATCCGTGATCTGGCTCCAGAGACTACCTACTGCTTGAAAGTACAAGCGTACCGGCCACTGGAAAAGGAAGGCTTATTCAGCCCCGTCCACTGCATAAAAACCACTCGTAAAGGTACCGAGAAAGAGCCCTTCGTTGGAAAACCAGGTTACTGGGCCTGGAAGTCGCACTCATTCTGATATAACAGCAATCTCGATGGTTATTTAGATTTTCTGTTTAAAATACAAATGCGTATGAAGTGGAGCCGAGCTTTAAAAATAAAAAATATGAGCCTTGACTTCTTGATTCTTGCAGCTTCTGGAGAACGGCTTTAGTGCAAGTTTGCTTGTAACTAATGGCTCGTTTTGCATGTGTACTTTTTCCCCCTTAGTGCACTGCTCAGGTGCCTGGTTAAGAACTCTTCAATATTAGTAAAAAATATGTTCAGTGGGAATGTAGAAAGTCAGGCATCAGCTTGAACGGGGGTATATCAACTCTTTTTCTTTTTTCTTCCCCCTGCCTCCATCAGAATGCCTCTATCTCCCCTCTTAAGAAAGGAGATGCTCCTGAAGAAAGGAGATATTCCCCCTATCCTCCAATAACAAGTGGCTTTTAATTTTCAAAACATTTGCCACCGAATCAGAATTTCCAACTAAAATGTTTCCTTGCATCTTTTGCCTGAGTTCCTTTCTTACGTGCCTGCACGAAGCAGAGGATGGGTCAAGAACATCATCTCACTTCAGATCCTGACTTGTGTTTCTGTGCCAAGCAGTACTTGCCTGTCTGCCTGGAGCCATGCATTGCAAGCAGTTTCCTTTCATACACTGAAATTAGGAGTGCAAACAAATGATGCTGCACATAAGGCACTGGCTGGGATGGAAAAAGGGTATTTTAGTTATTGAAAATATACCGTGCCCATTTAATACAGCGAGGAATTGTTGAACAGTAAAGCTTTTTAGTGACTGTGGGTTTCCCTCTTGTTTTATACAGTAAAAGATCTACTTTGTCCAACCAATGTGAGAGTTTCTGCCTTGAACATGAAGTTTCACCTTCACTGGAAGAGTCAGTACAAGGGAAGTGTGAGATACACCGTGCAGTATCTCCTGTGAGTTGAACCGTTTCCGTGTGTTTGTATGAACAGGTTCTGTGGTTTTAAACAGTTCGTTGTATTTTAATTTCTAGTAGCAGTTTCTAAAGTGTAATACCTGCAAAAGGGGCTTAGCACGTTAACTGAAGCATTCGGGACCTCATCTGGGCGCAGAGTGGCTCTTACAAGGACTGCAAGCAAAGTAACCTAGACTGTCAGACATGTGGCTTCTTTTTTTTTCGTGTAAAAGAATGTTAAATACGTGATGGTTTGGACTTCCAAATATACACTAAACAACATGTGTAAGATATGAAGCTTCCATTGCTTAGATTTTTTTTTTAAATACTAAGAAATTAGACATCTGGAAATTGTAAACCAGAAGCATATTGTAAAAAAAAAAAAAAAAAACCCTCTCTGCAAACATTTCTGTTAATGTCTAACTGTAGCACATACATTGTGGCCATAATGTAGACTTTTTTTCCTAAATTCTTGACTTGCATTTAGTTTTTCTATGCTTTCTGGTAATAAAGGCAAGAGACCGCTGAATGTTGAATCCTTTTGGAGTTTTTAGGGCATGTCAGACAAATAATCAACTTAAAAGATTTTTCATACAGTTCTAATTTTCAGAATGTTTAAAATCATTGTATAATTTTTCTATTGAGGGGCAACTGCATAAGCATTAATTTCTATATCCTGCTCCAGGTAGCATCATTGTTTCAATTATCAATAAAAAAATAATAGCACTTAGTGTTATCTATATAAGTAAAATTTTAAGACCATTCTTCCCAGCAAAAAAAGAAAAATGAGGCCCTTGTCAGCCTGGATCTTTTTAGCCTGTGATTCTCTTGAAGAAATATTAAAACTTATCTCTTCTAGGGCGTTTATAAAGAATATTCCTGGTGATCAGTCAAAAAAATGGCTCTCTGTACCTGGATGTGAAAACATCACTAATACAAAATGCAACTTCACATCTATCATCCCGCCTTCTCCTGGATTGTATTACCTCCGTGTACAGGCAATGAGTGAATATAATAGATCGTGCTTGTCCTATGAAGTAAAAGTAGATCCYCTGATAACAAGTAAGCAGATGTGTTTTCTTAAATGTGTTTATTTCCCAACCAGCTTGTTGACTATGCTAGTATTTGCAGAAATAAACTAGTCAGATGAACGAGTACATAGTTCCTGGCTCAAATTCAGCAGATGTTTTTCCATGGTCTTTTCTAATTCAACAGTCAGCATTTCACTATTTAGGAATACATCATTGACTGTACTAAGTTAAGGCAAAGTACCTTTAATACAATGCTTATATTTTAATAATCTTGTTGTAAATTTATGTTGCGATATTTTGTGTCATTTTTACTTGTATTCYTTCGGTCTAATTATTTTCTTTTTAAAAAATGCTTTAAGATGAAATTGGCCCTCCCGATGTAAAAGTGGACGTCAGTGATGTTTTGCTCCACATCCAGATTTCTCCTCCAGGAGGGTCTGAGAACGAGGCCTTGCGAAATTATGGCTTGTCTTACCGCGTTCTCTACTGGAAGAATTCATCAAATAACGAGGTAGGGACTGTGTAAACGTTTACAGGTGTGCATGGACTTCATAATGGCACTTGGGTTCTCCTCAAGAAGTGTGTTTTCAGAAGAGGCAGCTATCTGGTGTGTCCATCATGCAGTTCATCTGGGCATTTTTGTGAAAGTTTATTTTAAAATTCGGGTCAAGAAGACTTATTTCAAAGCAGTCTTTCTTTTTTTTTTCTTCCCCCCATGTTAGTGTGGCTCTATGAGATAAGACTTTGCACAAGTGCCCTCCGCGTTCAGTGGACAAACCTACAGACGGCTCAGTTCTCAGCAGGGGTTGTTGGGTTCTTGTGGTGTTGCCTTTCTGTCTTCTGGGGGTGGTTGTGCGTGTTGTCCTAACTCCTACAGTTTCAGACCCAGCTGGCTAATTCTTTTCTTTCCATATTTGCAGTTTTATACCTGTATGTGTTAAAGGAGATGCACTTTGTATGCTTTAGTTCACATCCTAATGCTTCTCTTAGCCAAATGCYTTTATAGCCGCCAGTGAGCATGTGCACACATGAACATATCTGAGAAAATAAGAACACGGGCTACATGAACCAAGCAGATGGCTCTTGCTGATTAAATTTATTGACTGAATGTGCGTACTGGAGGGTTTGTGTGGTAGCTTTTACTTAATCCAGTTGCAGAATGGTGTCCAACTTCTTACAGAATGACTTTCTCAGTTCAGCAGAGGCCAAAGCTCTAATGTAGCTGAGTGTTTCGTATTTATGTGCTCCTTCCCTCCCTCCYTCCTTCCCTCCCTCAGGAGGAAGCAAAAATGAAAGTGGTAAAACAGAGAATTGCGACGGTTTCTGATCTAACGCCCGCCACATTTTACTGTGTGAAAGCACAAGCGTTCTCCGAGACTTACAACAAAAGCAGCCCCTTCAGCAAGGAAGAATGCATTCTAACACCCCGAGGTAGGAGCTGTTTGGGACCCCTTCACACCCTAGCTTAGAAATCATTAGCTCAGATGAATAATGAGCATATGTAACAAGCACRTGTGTTATTGGAACGATGTATTTCTTGTAATTACAAGTTCAAAGGAATGACTGCAGGTTCAACTTGGTTCTGCGTGGTGAGTTTTTAATGGGCTAACTTTAATTTCTTTAATGATATTTTTGGGAGGGTGCAAGGAATCACTAAAAAGGAGGGTGCTACAAATTCAAGATCCTGTTGTYATTTTGATCTTTCTGAGAATGACGTGAATTAAAAAAGAAATCATGTTCTGAAATATGAGAAGACAAACCATCGGGCTCCTGGGGGTAGTATTTTTTAAAACAAAATACATTGCAAAGTAGAGGAGTGGAGAAGGAAACTTGTAAGACTCTGTAACTTAAGCAGTGACTAGCTTACCACTGTGATCAAAGCTTTCTTGATGACTCAGATATTTTGCTGACCAAAGCTGCGTTCYGTTAGGTATACCCCAGCTATCACAGAGTCTCAAACTTAAGTCCTGATGTTGAACTGAGCCTGTGGGAGGGTTTCCCACTGCTCTGGCTTCATCCAGGAGGGCAGAACCTGAGCGCTGCAATAAAGCGCAGCTCGCTCTGTGCACCTGCAGTGCCAGGCTCGGCTTGAGCTAGTCCCTAAGCCATCAGTATGGAGAATAGGCTGCAATATCCATGGAATTGATTTTTTTCTTTTTTCTAAATCCTTGACAAGCAGCTGAGAAGGGTACAGGAGTTGCTTGCTAGGAGGTCTTGGGTTTTTTTCCACGCTGACTGTGCTATAGGCATCTGAAGTTTGCAGCTGGAGTTCCTCACCTCTGAGAARCTTGTGTCAGTGTTTTTGTGCAGCTGAACAGCCTGCGAGTCTGGGCAATCTCCTCCCTTCGCCACCAAATCACCGTGGGCCAGCCTCACTCTGGGGTCATTGCTTGTTTTTAGCCCGTAGACATTTACTCCCCTCTCTGCATTTTCAAAGGATCAAACATCTTCAAATTACATCATGTTCCTTAGCATAAGGAACTGTACGCAAGTAGTAGAGTAATAAACATCCATGCATCAGGTGTAACATATAGGTGCAAACATTTTGTCCTGCTGTCAAATAGTTAAATCTGATATAGCACTATAGAAACATGAAATTTTATGATAAATACTTTAATAGGTGTGAAGGTCATCTATTCTCTAATCTTTCAAGTTTATGAATGCCCGTAAATTAATATTTTTAATTCACCTTTTTTTTTGTAGATAAAATGTTGCCTCTGATCATCCTAGCAACATTCCTAGGTGCCCTGATTGCTATCTTGGTTGTTGCAGTGCTTATCATTTTTGTCCTGTATCAAGCATATAATAAGATCAAGTATGTGTTCTTTCCATCATGCCACCCTCCTTCAAACATAGAGGTAAGGTGATATTTTTCTTATTCACTGAGCAGATTTGTTTTTAGAAAAAACACAAAGAGAAAACATTTTGAAAAAGTGTTTCTCTGTGCATCTCATGCCGTCCTGGATAGGCAAGATTAACTTTACGGGCTTTAGCAATAAAGTGTAGGATTTCTTATAGAAAAGGAAGTGGGTGGTATTAATTTCTGAAATTCTGTGATAAGCAGAGACTTTTTTTTCTTTTGTCCACACAAAGCTATTGCTAAAGATACTTCATTCCAGAGAGTACCTTCCGTTGCCAAAGTGAGCAGGTACTTCTGCCCCCTTGTATGAGACCAGAATCGTTTCCTGTTGTGTTCCCTAGGAGTGTGTGCTCTGGACACTTGCCTTGGCTGTGGCTTAAGCATTTCTTCAAGCTGGATTGCCAACCTGATGATTTATTCTTGACACTTAGCACTTGATTATTTTTTTTCCCCACTTGCTGCATTAGATCCAAGTGTTCGAAGGCTTACCTAGAAAGGAGGTCATGAACAGTGTGGAGAGGTGAATAAGGCTTGATAGGTTGTTTYCTGACTCTTCCATTATTAGAATTAGAGGGCGTCTGGGTTATTTATCTGGCTTTGTGTTATCTGTGAAGCTCATCACAGAATCACAGAATATTCAAGGTTGGAAGGGGCCTCTAGAGATCATCCAGTCCAACCTTCCTGCTCAAGCAGGCACACCTACAGCATGTGGCACAGGGCGGCATCCAGGTGGGTTTGGAAGACCTCCAGAGAAGGAGATTCCACAACCTCCCTGGGCAGCCTGTTCCACTGCTCTGTCACCCTCACAGTAAAGAAGTTGCTCCTCACCTGGAGACAGAACTGCCTGTGTGAAGTTTTTGCACAGGAAAAAAATGCATCTCTGAGCCTCCTGCCATGTATTTGCATTGTTTGAGGGACCACACGTTCCGAGAAGGGTTTGCCAGTCCTGAAGAACTTAAGAGGAGGCAAAAATGCTGGTCTTTAGAGGAAGTTTTGCTGCAGCAGGTAGCAGATGTTCCCTCTGTCACCTCCACTAGTGGGTCTGGGTGGCTCAAATCTCTTGAGAAAGCAGATGTTGCATTTCCAGCTCTGCTTCACTACTCACTAGTGCTCCCACTGTAGAGTGAACAGAGCAGCACGTCAGGGTGGYGTGTTTTGAAAGGCAGCAGGAACTGTTCTTCCCTGCTCCTGCTGTGATACCTCTGAACATTGAGCCGGGTACGGCCTTCCTCATGTGGATCTCCTTCTCACTGAAGCTCTTAAGAGGTACAGGACACAGATTTCTGCATGGCGTTAGTAAYAGAGCCTTAAAAGGCTCAATATCCTGCTTTAGCAGGGGGCTTACTGTTCCTTGCTTCCTTTAAATCTCACTTTTCAAATCATCATCATTGYAGACCTTGCAGACATGTCCTTGTCACCCACTTGTTACCGTGTGTTCTGTGAGAATGCTCTAAATTGGGGTTTCGCTTTAGTTCTTGAGTCAGGTTTTTGTAATTCATATACGTAGTTGACAACTATAAACATAGGAAAAAAGGTTAGGATTCTCTGTCCYTTTGTGCTGGTGAAGTGTCAGTCATTCATTAGTTCTTGATTATATTCATGCAACTAAACCTCATCTTGACTTTGTTAGGGGAAACAAATAGCGTCCTGCAGGTAGCAAACACAATAATCCTACAAAATAAACCGGATTCGTACAGCTACTGTATAGATTTGGACTGTTATTTAGGGATCACATATGATTAGTGCTCTCATTTTCTCTTTTGCTTCTCTTTTTGCAGGATGTCGGAGGACAACCTTTCAGCAGTCCCTATCTGCTAACTGAGGAGCCAACAGAAAACTTCTGTATAATTGAGAGTATCATCACGGAAGAAACAAAGCAAACTGATTTTGGAGAGGGCCAACATCCTAAACCGTGCAGTCGAGATTCAGGCAATTACTCTTATGATGATGATGATAATTCAGGGAGCAAAGCGTCAGAAGGAAAGGAAATAGTGTAGCATAAGAAAATAAAACTCATTTATAGGACTAGCCATATAACAGGCACTTAAACTTCCTTATTATGAAGGTCTCGGTGAAGAAAGAAGGACTTTGGGTTCTGGGTGCTGAAGCTGCCAAACCCGCAGTTTGCTAGTGGCAAGTTACAGTCCTCTCTGCCGCCAGTGGACTCGAGGCAAGGCACAGCTGAGTTCTACTAACGTGGGCCGTTTTGACTGAATTCTTGCTTTATGATAAGAAGACTGCCATCTGACCAGAGAGGAGTAGATCTGTGCACTTCGTGTACTTGAACCTGAGAACATCAGTGGCAGTCTGCTGATGTTCGTTCTGCAAAACTGTTCTTGCTGTGTAGGAGCTGTGGTTTGACTGCCAGCATGTACCGTGACAGAAACCTTGTTGATCCAACGCGTTGGGTCAGCGTGCGTTTACACAGGCAGGAGCAAACTGCCGCCTGAGAACCCTTTGGAGATCCTCCGGCAGCGGCTGCGGGCGGCGGCGCTCGCCCGTCCCGGGCAGCCGCGGCGAGGTGCCCGTGCCCAGGCTCCCGGGGAGCTGCTGCCCGCCGCGGCCGCGGGGCACCCAGCGATGGGCGCCGAAGGAGCCGCGCGGAGCTGCGCCCTGCCCGGCCCCAAAGGAAGCCGGAGCTGCGGGGCCCTTTGGCAAGAGGGGCTCGGCCGCGTGGTGCCGCGCCCGTGCAGCTCGCAAGCAGCGAGTGTCCGAGGTGGGTGTGCGCGGCGAGGAGAAAACGCAGCGCTGCAGTGCACAGGCACGCAAAGGGGCATGTTCTGCTTTCCTGTTTTATGGTTGGACCCCAGGAAGTATGAAATACTTGCCTGTAAGTTACTGGTGTTTAGAAATGTGCATCTCCCAACAAAAAGGAACTTGCTTCTGAAATTTGAGCAAGGACTCGAGTTTCATAAAGAAAATGGAACTTATCTCCCAACATAAAGGAACTTGTTTCTGAAATTCGAACAAGGACTCSAGTTCCATAAAGAAGATGTCTTTTCACAGAGTGGTGGGGACGTTTGTCATCCAGTTTGGTCTCGTCTTCCTAACAAGACTCTCCTATATGCAAAGAGGAAGGATGCGCTGCAATGACTTTTTTCAATTTGCATTTTCTTTTTTATCCTTTCTTTAATAGTTTATTTTTAATGAAGAAATGGAGTGAACTTTTTTGAACTTCATTTTTTTTATTGTAAAAGTAACTCTAATTTTTGGTGTTTTTTAATTTCAAAAATGTGATATAATTTTATAAATTTAATATCCTTGTGTTCATTGGAGAACATAATAAATTTTGCACATTTACTTTAGCTCTTTTCTTGTATCCATATTTTTTTGGATGTACTGACACCAAACCTMTGTCACCGTTATTTAGGAAGTCACCCATGTGTCTTCAGCCACTGCCCTTCCTGAAATGCGCTGTGAGGAACGTTGTGTAAAATTAAGGGGAGCTTAAATGAGATTTTCTCGTGATTTAGCCATCAGAAAGAAGTGTTGATTCATGGTCTAAACTAGGCCTTAGGAGGAGATTGCGGAAGGGATCACTTCACACCTCATCTGTGGCGTCTCAGACGTGGCGTCTGCTGCGTTTACATCGTCCCTTCGCTTTAGCCGGTGCCCCGCGTTCCCCTGCGGCAGAGAGCTCCCTTGTGCAGCCCCTCCTGGGCGCTTTATGCTTTAGCAGGGCTTCTGGGTTTTTTTTCCTGAAAACTTCAATTTCAGATGAGTTTTATTATTTGTGRCCCCCTTCTGCAATTGGGTTCAAACAAATGATATTTTAAAAAGCTTGGTTAGAAGATGGTGTACAGAAAACCTCGTATCGTCTCTTTTTAGGATTGCCAGAAGCAGCAAAACGAGGATGTAAACATGCAAATAATGATTCCATATATATAACGTCTACCACTTAAGCAAGAAAAAATAATGGGCTAAATGCTTCCTGTGCTTTCATTCCGCTACATGGTTCAAATAGATCCAGAGAGGATACTAGAAAAATAATTTGTTGCCCTTCCACGATCTGGTCCTTGCACCGCGCACTGAAGCTTTGTGCGAGTGCTGCATTTAGAGGGGAAGGAGCCYAGGCACCGCACGGGCCGGGGGAGACCTGCCACGGAGCAGCTCCGCGGAGAAGGCCGCGGGGGCAGCACGGTGCCCGTGAGGCAGCCACGTGGCCGAAAGGCCGGGGGCACCAGGGGGGCCGGGGGTCGAGCTCGGCCGGCAGGCCCAGGGAGGGATCCTGCCCCACTGCCCGGCCCTGCGGAGGCCGCGGGTGGAGCCCCGTGTCCAGGGCTGTGCTCCCTAGAACAGGAGGGACAGGGAGCGACGGGAGAGTGTCCAGCGCGGGGCTGCCAAGATGAGCAGGGGCCTGGYGCGTCTCTGCCCTGTGGAAAGAGAGAAAGCTGGGCCTGCTTAGCCTGGAAAAGAGGAGGCTGAGCGGGGATCTGCTCAGTGGGGACGGATAGATCTTAAGGGAGGGTGTCCAGAGGATGGAACCAAACTCTCTTCAGTGGTGGCCAGGGAGAGGACAAGAGGCAACGACCGCAAATGAAGCACAGCAAGTTCTGCCTGAAGCTGAGGAAGAGCTTCTTGACTGAGGGTGCCAGCGCCCTGGCACAGGCTGCCCAGGGAGGCTGTGGAGTCTCCTTCTYTGGAGGTGTTCAGCATCCACCTGGATGTGATCCCCTGGGCCGTGTGCTCTAGGCATCTCTGCTGGAGCAGAGGGGTTGGAATGGATGATCTCCAAAGATCCATTCCAACCTTAATCACTCTCTGATGCACTTTGTGATTCTGYTGGGCTTGGTTTCTAGTTTTTGTGTGTCTGTGAGATTTTTGTTTGTTTTTGTCATTTTTGGGTGTGTTGTTGTTTTGTTTTTCAGTTTCTAAYATCTTTCCAAAGCTTAAAACGTTTGAAACGTTTTTCCTTACCCAAACTATTTTTAATAGAAAATCTTTATTTTCTGTATAAGAAGTCTGACAAGAAACTGTATTTGAGAGACCTGTTAATCTCAGTTGTATCACACACAGCCCTATTAATGGCTGAATATTTTCCAGCTCTCACCACCTACCATGATTTTGTGATAGAAACTCAAATTTTAAGACAAAAATAACTGTGCTTTTAACTTTTTTTTTTAGAGAAGGARTTTTTGGCACAAAAATTTCTGTTTTGGAAACAAATTCCTTCTCCTTGTTGATCCTTTCTTGCATGTTCCTGGACCAGCAAAGCATTTTTTAAAAGAAAATAATGTCAGGGGCAACTTCCTCAGCTTCCAGGAATTGTATCTCCTGTCTTTTATCAATGTGCCTTAATTGCTACACCCCTGGGCTTTTAGCCCCCAACCACACAAAAGTGTTTTTTTTTATTGGCATAGAGTATATAAGCAGTGCTAAGATTTAGTGTTTTGAGCTCCCTCTGCTGATCTCTTGTAACAGCAAATTAAAAATCCTCCCCCAAAAGGTGAGAGAAGGGCAGGTGCAAAATTCAAATAGTCTTACCAAAATATTTTGGGGTTACTTTTTTTTCCCTTTTTTTCCAGAAAATATTCTACAATATTTTGATCCTACTTAGTAGAGGGAGAGGATCCCCTCCCGAGAYCAGCTGGCAACGCTTCCACCACCATCCCTCGATCACAGAACTGTCTTCTAGGAGGGCAGTAAGAAACTTCAGAACCAGGATCCTCCAAAGCTTTCCGCTGTTTTTTGTGGAGCAGTTTGCCGTGTGCATCAGCAGTAGGACACAAGGTGACACTTCTGTATTCATGAAGAGCATAAAGTTCCACGCGCGACGCTCACCCTTAGCTTTGAAGCGTCTGTCTCTTTTTGCTCACCTCTCCCTCAACAAAGCAAACTTCAGCTTGATTCCTAAGTGCACTTAATGCTGCTTAAATGCTCCTAATGCCTGGTTAAGCAACAGTGGATGTGGCTGCAGAAGGCAGGGCTGCCCTCGATTCCCCGGCCTGCAGCAGCAGGGGTTGAGGCCTTCAGGAGCTGCAGCACGGCGAGTCCCGCCTCGYGTCGGGAAATGACCTCACCTCGACACCTCGGTGTGTTTTCCCGCCTGCAAGGCTCTCTCAGTGCTCTCCTAAGGCCAGATGCTCCGTAAAGGTTTTGTTAGGCTCTAATTCTGTGTTGCTTGGTGTCGCCTTCAGGTGGGTGGAGGGGCTCACCACTGCAATCACAAAGTGACATAAAAGTGAGGTGAGACACTGGGTTTTTAGCTTCAAAGAAGATGTGCTCCTGAGGCATAAACCACTTAAAAAATGTCAAGGTAGGTATTTAAAAGAAAACAGATCTCTTTTCTTTTTTTTCCGCTGAGTACTGGCAGAAGTCAGTGAACGCTGAGAACTTCGGAAAAAATGAGACATTTTATTAAATAAAAGTGTGTTGTCACTTTGGACACACAAGCTAGAGTGCAGTGAGATTTTTTCCCTTCCTTAAATCTATTACCTGGGTAGATTTTTCTGTTCCTTGGGATTGCTTGGAAAGTACCTGTATGTGAAGGTGCCTTTTATCATACGCAGCCAGAAGTTTGGGTTCATTTTGCTTGATGGGGCCCAGTGGTTAGGGGGATTTGTAATAATTTTAGTAACCAGATGTTTCAATCCAGTCGCCTGGAACCCTTGAGATACACCTATAGAGATAGTAGGAAAATGGAGATACAGATGTAGGAAAACGAGATTTGTCAGAAACCATGGATCAGAATATTGAGCTTGGCATTCATTCTGAGCTCAGTGGCCAACGATTCTTCAGACAGTGCAGTTGAAAGATGATTCATGTCATGTTACACAAAGGAAACATAAGTTAAGCTCCCAAACATCTGAACATTCAAGGAAGGGCTCTCACAAAAGCTCAGCTCTTTGTTCCTGCTTGACCCTGCAAGTGAATGTGYCTGTTGGTAGCCTCTGCCAAAAGGTCTTTTGCAACGTGCAGAAAAGGTGTGCATGGACTTGCCGGAAATGTTTGCGGGAGGTGAACAATTTTTTTTCATGCTCTGATGGGAACTAAGGTGGTGGCCCTCTGGTCGTTCCCACTTCTGTAGTTTGTCACTTCAGTCCAGGCTTCAGGATTTCCAATGTGTTTGTGGAACAGCCCCCCGCCTCAGGCTGAATTTCTTGGCTGACTCAGAACAAATTTCCTTTTTTCTTCCAATTTACAGCTTATTCATCTCTTCTTCATTCCTCAAAGCTTATTCACTCACCACACAAAAGATCTCAGCACTTGCTGCGCTTTTCCCAGCAGACTTTTGAATGTCCCTTTGGCAGAGAGTTGGGTTCTGACATTCTTCACACGTCCTGGCGAGAGCAACTCAAGACACCGAGACCCACATCGCTTCATCTGCTGAAGCCACCAGCTTAAGGTGACTTCAAGCTGGTCGCCAAAGCACAGTGCACAAATATCTAATTTATTATWGTGTTTGGTTATGATGCCTAGACCTGCCTTTCAACATTGCCAATTTCAAATCCAGTTCGGTCACTTCTTTTTCAGCGATCTGCTCCAACAGGAAACTAATATTGCTCAGTCTGGTGCACATCTCTCAATCCGCAAGCTGCCTATTTCGACATCTCCCATCTGGATCTCATGGCTCAGAAACATCCTTGCTTCACAGTGGTGCCACATAACAAATCTTTGTGAAAACAGGAATCACCGTGACAGCCAGGTCAGGCAAAAGAGGAACAACTGAACTGGATGACCGGCTCAAAAAAGATGACTCACCTCTGAAGCTGACAAACTCAATTTTATCCAGAATGTTCTGGATGCCGTTGCAATCCCCCTCTCCTCCTTGGTGTGGCAGACACAGGCGCCCTGTTTCCCTGGGAATACACTTTGTGAGACTCTGCTTCTGCTCTCCGCGCCTTGGAAGACGGTCACGTTCCTGCTAGGCACCTGTAGTGGAAGCTTGCCCRCCACTTCTTCCCCGTATCACAGGACATTGTAGTCAGGGAAGTCACATAGTGTCAATGTATTTATTATAGACAGCAAAAGAGTTGACACGGCCCAAAGCAGGGTTATATTCCTTCTCCGAGGCTTGTTTCTCTTCCCATAACTTTGGGTTACTCTCTTGAATTGGGAAAACTCTGCRTTTTCTGTATCAAGTAAAACCCAGATGCAAAGCTCACAGCTGCTCTGGCCTTTTGCTCCCCGTTCTGTTTTGCTTTATTCCACTGTTGGTGTAAGGCCTMGACAGACGATATCTGTGAGGAACCGGGTTTCTCCAAAGGATTTAAACACTGAGAATCCTATATCTGCCAGGCCGTTCTAAATTTGAACAAGGCTTCTTTCTGACACTAGAATCTTGTTTTATAAATACAACCATTTATAATCAACAACGTGCCTACACCTCCGAAATTAATGCTCACAGTTCAGAGCTCAAGTCATTCATTTCATGCCCTGTCTCAGGAATTACAACCTAAAGGAGTTTATCGACAGCACACATGGGGTGGGTGTTTTTTTTTCCTTTAATCTACTCAGGCACACATCTGTTTTTGCTGTTTCTTAAAGCTGCTCCAGGAAAACATGCCATGACTGGTTATACTTCCTCCCTAGGAGACTTTGCTTCATCAGACAATCATTGCAAACAGAGCACTAAAGCTTCCCCTTTTTTTTTTCTTTTTTTTTTTCTATGATTCACCACAATTTGCTGAAATAAATATGATACAAAGGGCTCATATATGTATGCRTGCGTGTGTGTGTATACATATGATATATCTATATACATATATACAGAGGCTGGCAGGAGCACTGAGCTCCTGCGTGCTGACCCCTTTGCCCCAACTGCTACACAAATAAAAGGAATATCCACTTTTGCTCCACTCTTGCCCGATGAAAGCTGGCATCTGATGCCTCTTTCCACCTCCACAGGCCAGTGATTCACACAACCTGAAGCACGACAGAACCAGCTTTCCAACTGGAACTCAACTAGAACTAGCTAAAACTAACTAAAACTGAAACTAGCCAAATAAATCTCAGCCTGTGCTGCTGTGACACAACCCGCTCTTTTGCTTGAATTTACCCCAGACCAGCTTAGAGGATTATTTTGACTGCACTATAAGAGTGTTCTTCTCTCAGAAGGAAATGCTGACCTTTAAAACCTCTCGTCATGAGACTCAGATGTTTCTGGCTGTGCAACACTGTGGGAATTCCCTTCAGTCAGCTTCTCTTTCGGCGATGGCACCAAGTGAAGGAGTTCCCAAACCCTGTTCCCCAGGACGTGCACGCATCCGACCGTGCTGGCAGCAGGTCGAGGTTTGGGAGATGCCCAAGAGCCTTGGTGAGCTGAGGCTTCGCAGCTAAACAGACCTCTAAGCTATTTGTTTTACATGTAGGTCAAAAGCRAACAACTCAGTGACATTTACCTTCTATGAAGTGGTTTAAAAACAGTAATAGTGAATACTCCGAAATGGAGGGAAAGGGGTAAAAGTTTGGAGAACCTTCCTCAAAGTCATTAATCTGCTTAAGGCTTGCTGAAATACGATGGGAATAGGAACGGGCTTGTTAATGTGTATTTCACTTTGGCCTCCTGCTCTAGTACATTTGTGTTCWTTCCTGGACATGAGTGACATGTTTTGGAAACAGATGCAAGTTCATATTGCTCTAAACAATGCCAGAAGAAATACTGACGCTGAATGCAGTGCTTGTTAACTTGGGGTCATGCATGCACCACAGGGGGACCAGGGATCTTCTTATCTTCTTTTCTTTGGCTTCTTAACTGAGAGAAACCTGGTTCTTTACATTACCCCCCGAGAAGAGGTTAATGAAGGAATAAGGGAAAGGTGTGTGATTTCCCTCTTACTCCCCGGTGGTCCCCAAACTGCTGACCTGCCACCCACTACGTGATGCATGAGTTGTCCCTGGGTTTTATAACTGATTCATTTCACCTCTGTATCTCAAATGCAGAAGTGAAATGTGTCATTTCTTGAGAGGTTCCTTATCTTCTGCCGTTTTTTTTCTTCCTTTCAGAGCTCAAGGAGAAGATCAGATGTACTGACTCCGATTCTTTCTTCTCTCCCTTTTATCTTAATTAAATCTCGGTTTATTTTCAATTCACACTCTGTTCAGCTCTCCTTAAGATACCAGCTTAAAGATTCACCACTTACCCACTGATGGTGAAAACCACGTATTTCCCAACCCTTACTTACAAAGACACTCCCAGTCATTTTGACTTTCTTCCTGGCAGTCTTTTAGCCTGTAAAAGAACAAATTCCTGGGCTCTGGGTAAGTTCAAGGTATGGATAAGATCAGCTGGAACAAACCCAGAAGGCTGCAAGGCCTCCTGTCTGGTTTGATGAAAGGAAAACACACATGCTGAGTTGTGGGATTTCTCTAGCAATTATGGTTAGCACATTTCTCTCAGTGCAYGCCTAGAGGCAATCTCCTCTTCCAGCTCCATGTCTTCAGCTGCTCTTCAATATAGATAAGTTTCTTCTGCGCCTCCACATCCCGTGCACGCATGAGCTAGAGATGCTCCCGGGGCTAACGGGCACCGGGGAACTCCCAGGGCGAAGCCCGCGGAGCGAAGGGTTTCGCCCCAGCGCCGCCGTGCGCGYGCTGCATGAGTCACCCTTCTGAGAAGGGTTCAAAACCGGGTCAGGCGCGCTCAGTGCGGAGGAAAATAGCTGAATYTATAACCAAACGGCTTTGATCGCTGCCACCTTCCCTTTCTAGCCCACCTTAACTTCACAGCCAACCAGTAAGTCTGCTTTTCAGTGTTGTTATTTTTCCCTCCCARTGTTTTCTAGCTATTAGCATTTGTGCTGGCGTTGAAAGGCCTCAGCTTTGATCCTGGCACGTTTCTGACCGAACATCCCTGCAGGAGGAAGATCCCTGCGCCAAAAGGTCGGCAGTTGCTGCACCCCGACTGCACAGGGCAAGGAGAAAGCTCTCCGTTCTCCTTGATGGCAGCAGACCTGAACAGCAGAGAAACACAGTGATTCATCCGGGGTTACTCGGAAATCAGAACTGCTCAGCCCTCCTCACCTACTGCTTTCAACACAAGATAATCTCACCGGGTTTGCCCGCTTCCTTAYGCTGGTGGCAGGGCGGCTCCTTGCTGGGTCGGCACAGCGAGCCTGCAGCAGCTGGGCTGCACTGCTGCTAACACCCTCCTGGAATCACAGCGGCTTGACGCGCCCTCGCTCCTCGCAGGCTGCTTTCTGGGGTAGCCCTGGTAGCCACAGCTCTGCCGAAATCTTAGAGTTTTAGGAGTAAAATGTACTTTCTCTCTGAAGCACTCAAATGAGCTTTTGGACTTTGTTCTGGGAATGCAAAAAGACTCTTCCAGTTACTGTGCTTTTGAAGTAAACTGAACGGCAGTGCAGCACTAAGGCCCTATAAACCAAGGGATCCCTATCTAGTGGATTATTTAAAAACAGCAGTCGTTCTATTAAAACAGTAGCAATTTGGGAGGAGTACTGCCCTCCCATATAGGTTTTTGAATCTCACTACTGTGCAGTCAACAGCATCAGCTAAAGGTATGTGGTTAGGCTTAACCACGTGTTGGTGTTAGGCTGCTTACAGCCAGAGAAAGCTAAGGAACTTTAACCACTTAATGCAAGACTTTCTCACATAAACCACATGCCATAAATACACAAATACTGTCACTTCTAAGCGTGTTTGCACCACGTGCAGTCAGGACTGCAAGTATTTTATATACCCTGACATAAACCTATGCAGTCGGATTAATGATTGAGCCAGGTTTACTTGCATGTTTGGCCTCCTGCGTTCAGGGCAGCAGGGGTGCGTAGCTGCAGCCTTTATTTTGGGGTGCCCTCATGGCCACTTGGGCCATGGCGGCCTGGCTCAGGGGCAGAACAGGACACGCATCTTCTCCCCCGTCACCTTCCCATGTTTTATGGAGCAGGAGCCGGCACCTCACTTGCCAGGGGCACCGGGGCAAAGGCCTCTGGAGGCTGCCGAGATGTTTTGGAACTTTCTGGGAAGTTATCCGGGATGTCTCCCAGGTGAGGGCGGCGCTTCCCAGGGAGCTCTGAGCAAACCCGCCTGGCATGGGCTGAGCAGGGGCTTCACCTTGTCCCAGGCTGCCTGTTCACCGGGCCTCACTGGCCCTTGGGAAAGGGAGATACATCTATGCACGGATACATGTGTGTGTATGTGTATACATATACATATATATATATATTTTATTTTTTTCCTGAGAACTCCGACAGCCTGGCTTATCCCATGGCCCTCTGTGCCCTCCCTCTGCGAGCCCCGTCAAGGCTGGGCGAGTGGTTGGAACCGTTAGGGCCGTTAGAA